AAAACTTAAAAAAAAATAAGCCCTAGCGCGTATTGTAGTTTTGATTATGAATAGCAGATAGGGGTCACTAGAGGGGTCTGGTTAAGGAAGGATCTCTCTTCGTTTCTTTCCTTTTTGTTATCTCCTTTTCTTCCTTTCTTTTTTTCTCTTCTCCTTCCATTTTCTCTCTTTCTCTCTCTTTTAATCATAGTTGGGGAAAAGTACATGTTTTGCTGCATTGATTTGTTGAGGGGAAAGAGTGAGCCGACCATGTGATGATAAGGAAATGTCACTGGAGAGCAAGGAACACAGACTCTAAATTAAGAGTTGGGAAATTTTTTCTGTAAGGGGCCAGGTGGTATTTATTTTAGGATTTACAAGCCATACAATCTCTTTTAAAACTACTCAACTCTGTTGTTGTAGTGCAAAACAGCCATAGACAATATATAAATTATTGAGCTTGGCTATGTTTTAATAAGACTTTATGGTTGTTTGTTTGTTTTTTTATGGCAGGCTAGATTTGGCCCACAAGCTATGATTTGGTGACTCCTACTGTATAGGGATTAACCTTGTACAAGTTACTTATAAAAATGTCATTATTAGTGTACACATTGCCAACATAGGAGTCTTTTTTAATGCTCTATTAGATGGGGATACAGAATTGGACAGATATAATTCAGGGTGTCATTGGTGTGAGGAAAGAAGAAAAATGTTTAAAATGGTTGATTCCACTGATAACCTGGAGGTTCTGGCATGGCCTCCTTTCAGTCCTGTTTCAGCTGTGTAGCTGCTATTTGTATGTCCCGGGCAGAGAAGCAGACTGAATAGAGAGGGCTACGTTCCCCTGTCTGGTATTAAATCTCCCCTTAGTGGTATTTAAAACCCAAGTTGTTGAGTCAAGCCTGGGTTCAAATCTCTTATCAGATGTGTGACTTGTGATGTAACTGCTCTGAGCATCAGCAGAATGATAGTTTATCTAGCCAATTCATAAGCTTACGAGGATCTTAGTCATAACAATAATAGCAGCTAACACATGGCACTTACTATATCCCAGGCAGTGTTCTAACTATGTATATTAACTCATTTAATTCTCTCACAGCCATGGTAATTGTATACCATCATTTTAATGATGAAGAAGCTGAGACACAGAAATGTTGTCAGTAAATCATTCAAGGCCACATAGTTAATAAATGCCAGAGCCAACATGTGAACTTGGGCAGTCTGGCTTCATAGTGCAAGCTCTTAACTGCTAGGCTTTACTGCCTTCTAAGGTGAGAACATCTGTAGCATATAGGTTTTCAAGAAATTGTAGATATATTAACTTTACAGAATATTTTGGTATCTCTTCAAAAAACTTAGTGTACTTATGAGATAGCAGATATGCATAAATAGGAGATTCAGATTTTGATTTTTTCAGGTTTTTTGCTTTTTTCAATTACATATTATTCCTGGGATTTTTTTTCCCCCCGTTAGAGTCATTAGTGCTACTATTCTTAAGAATTGTTTTGAAATGAATCCCTTTCTGTGAGGCAGTATAGTGGAAATGAGCCAGAAGACCCCTGACTCCTGTTTTTGTCCTGATTCTGCATTTTCCTTTGTGTGATCTTGGTTACATAATTTTACTCTTTTAATTGTCTTTTAGCTGTCAACTGAAGATAATCCTCAAAGTAATGGGATTCAAATGAGATAACCTACGCCAGAGTGCCTAGCAGTATGTCTAGTATGTTATCAGACACTCATCAAATACTAGTACCTTGTTCACCTACTATATTACATAGCATAACCTAAACCTTAGTACTGAAGGGAATCTTAAGATGGGAGAACTGAGGCCCAGAGAACTACTCATTCAGAACTGTATAGGTAATTAGAGGCAAAAGGAGCTATCACTTAATGTAGGTCTTCTAATTTCTCAGTCTTGTCCTATTTTTACTGTTCACACTCCTTTATGCATTACATACAGAAGCATTATGTAATATGGCTGAGTTTTGGGGGGACTTTTCTTCGAACAAAACATGACACTCTTATTAAGGAAAATAATAAGAGTGTTTGGTATTTTGAATTTTGTAATTAACTACTAAAAAAATCATAGGGACAATTTAATAAATCTTGAGGCTCTTTAAATCATGTATATGAAGTTATAAAGCTGTTAACGTTTCCTCATTTGTATTTATTTTTAATATACAAGTAGCATGTTTATTATAGAAAAAATAAATTAGAAGCAAAGTATGGAAGAATTCAAAAAACCCATTCAGTCAACATCAGTTAGAGAAAATGACTGTTAACACTTTGAAATAAAAGTGGCCTCATCTTAAACTTAAAACTTTGTAACTGACTTTTGTCCATTAGTGATGAATGAAGAAGACTATTCCTTGCCAAATTCAGATCTTGGTGATTTCATTTATTCCATTATGTGAATTGTTGCAGTTCATTTAAGTAATCCCATATTATGTAAATGGGCATTTCATTTTTTCCAAATTCCACAGAAACAATGCATTTTTGCACAGTTTTCCAGTTAATTTCACTTGATTTCTGATTTTTCATTTTTAACTTTGTGTTCAATAATTTTCCTCCAGAATAGAAATACATACATACCTATTTACATTTTCACTAGGGAAAGCTACTATATTTTGGGAGATGATGGTATAAATCTTCTTGAGGCTATATTTCTCTTTACATGTCACTTTAATATTTTGCATAGTGACATATCTGGCATAATCTTTAATTTTCAAAAGTTGGATTGTTTGTAGCTACATCTAAAATAACTAAGTGCTGCTGATGAAAATTTTAAGTGTGTGTTTTACGTTTGTCTTCTTTCTCTGTATGCATTAATTTGCATGGCACATTTAAAAAATAGATGCATCAAAATGAGTGTTTTTGAGTTACAGTTGACCCTTGAACAACATAGGTTTGAACTGCATTCACTTACATGAGGGTTTTTTTAAACTCACATATTGATAAATCCACTAGAGTACTGTAAATGTATTCTTACGATTTTCTTAATATTTTATTTTCTCTAGCTTACATTAATGTAAAAATATGTAATACATGTAACATACAAAATATGTGTTAATCACTTCTTTATATTATTGGTAAGGCTTCTGGTCAATAGTAGGCTGTTTGTAGTTAAGTTATGAGAGCATCTAAAGTTACTTGCAGATTTTAACTCTGCAAAGTGTTTGCACCACTAATGCCAACATTGTTCAAGAGTTAATTGTGCTAGTCTTTGTCACTTAGTTTAGGGACAAAGTCCTACTTTTGAGACAGAATTCGACTTAATTAGTATGTCCCTTATCTACTGTTCATTTGCCTTATTGTTCAGTTTCTCATGATGAACAAGAGGTATCTCACAATTAACAAAATGTGAACCCTACTGTCCTTTGCCATTTAGTCTTACATGTTAGTAAGGTAATTGTAGGAACATTTTGAGAGTTAGGTAATTTCTTTTTTTTATGGTTTTGATTACTTGTAGTTTTTATTCCCATGCATGTGAATTTGAGACCAAAAGGAATAGCTGTGAATTCTGTTTCTTTGGATGTAGACTGCTTTCCTTAAATTATGGTAATCTCACATCATCAGACAGTACAAGCATAGATCTTAGAGTTGAATAAACCATAGAGATAGATATTGTAGTCCAGCTCCTTGCTTGATGAAATAATCTCTTCCTCAGTATCTTTGGAAGCTCTGCTGGAACAGCCAGTTAAGAATGTTAATCTACATACTTTGACTTCACAAGTAAATGAAACATAAAATTTTGCCCTACGGGAACTTAAAATATTCTAGGTTTCTGTGACACGGGATTAAGGAGCAAGTTCAAGGACATGTTTTGGGTTCAGGATTGTATGCTCAGAATCATTTTCTTGGAGTATAACACAGTTTTGGCTATTTCATTTATAGGTTATTTTTAAATCCCTCATATGGTAGATAATTGGAGGAAAAAACTTTTTTGTTCCAGATAGAAGTTCTTTGTTAACTATTAATCTAGTATTTATAAATTGTTAAAATAGTAATTATATAAAGGAAAGCTGGATTGATACTTTTAACTAGACTCTTATTTTCTTAATGTCAGTTGTTTAAAGTGATAAAATACAAAACTCTTGGCCATAAACCTTCTGATTTTCATCTGTTGTGCTAAACAGTTTAAGCACATATACCATCGAATAAAGTCCCCCCCACACACTTTTTTTAAGCCAAAGAGAAGCATAATCTATTAAAACAATGATTTTGATAAATATTGCTGTTCTTTTTTTTTTTAATTTTTTTTAATGTTTATTCATTTTTGAGAGACACAGAGACGGAGTGTGAATGGGGGAAGGGCAGAGAGAGAGAGGGAGACACAGAATCCGAAGCAGGCTCCAGGCTCTGAGCTGTCTGCACAGAACCCGACGTGGGGCTCGAACCCACGAACCGTGAGATCCTCACCTGAGCCAAAGTTAGATGCTTAACCGACTGAGCCACCCAGGTGTCCCTGCTGTTCTTTATCATAGTATCTTAGCATTTATCTAGTTAAAAGTTTTATTTATGTAAATAGTGGATCTCCATTTTCTTTTTTTTTTTTTAATTTTTTTTTTAACGTTTATTTATTTTTGAGACAGAGAGAGACAGAGCATGAATGGGGGAGGGTCAGAGAGAGGGAGACACAGAATCTGAAACAGGCTCCAGGCTCTGAGCTGTCAGCACAGAGCCCGACGCGGGGCTCGAACTCACGGAGTGTGAGATCGTGACCTGAGCCGAAGTCGGCCGTTTAACCGACTGAGCCACCCAGGCGCCCCCGGGTCTCCATTTTCTAAACCTCATCTTAAATTTGCCAGTTTTTTACTTCAGTGCTTGACTAACTTGCCTTGCCTTATGATCTGTTGAGCTTTTTACATGAGAGCTATACTAATCTTAATCACTGTGCTCATTGTTTGAATGTTTGCTACAGGAAGCGAGCAGCTGCAAAGCATCTAATAGAACGCTACTACCACCAGTTAACTGAGGGCTGTGGAAATGAGGCCTGCACGAATGAGTTTTGTGCTTCCTGTCCAACTTTTCTTCGTATGGATAACAATGCAGCAGCTATTAAAGCCCTCGAGCTTTATAAGATTAATGCAAAACTCTGTGATCCTCATCCCTCCAAGAAAGGAGCAAGCTCAGCTTACCTTGAAAACTCGAAAGGTGCCCCTAACAACTCCTGCTCTGACATAAAAATGAACAAGAAGGAAGGACAAGGAGCAAGAGATGATTTTAGAGGTAAGATGTTCTATTTTTGGGAACTTTTGACTGAAAAACCAGATTGGAGATTTAAATAATTTGTGAGGTTCTTACTTGTTTTGTCTAATTGTGTGACATTAAGACATATTAGTATAGTGGTATTTATTTACCACTGTATATATATATTTATTGTGGCAAAGGACAAACTAATAATTGAACTAATTATTTGACTGCATTTTATAGTTCTAATGGTCTCTAATGAGAAGCAGATTAAATTCCAAAAGTTTCTTTAATAGATTGATTGGAACTTTTGAACATTTTTCCTAAGTAGTAGTCTCCTAAACTAGGCTATAGAATCTAATGAAATTATCAAATAGCTGGACTGAATATCTGGAATGAATTGTGGAACCTGAGCACTATTAGGTGAAAGAAGCAGAAAGAAGTGGTGGCAGTCTTTTCCATTTCTGAGGGCACAGCAAAATTTTGTAGCCGTTACTTGAGAAATAATTCAGTTTTTCTTTCTAATATTCTTCCCATATCCTGCTCAGCTTCTTCTCGGGATTTGGTACACTCATGCTGCCAAGAATCATCACCTACTTATTAATGGCAGTCTTTACCCAAGCCTTTGTTTTCTAAATGATCCTGTATTCCAAAATTGTTTAAAGAAAATTTTTTTTTAACCTTCAAATCCAAGCTTTCTTTTCCTCAGTGAAGATAATCAATGTTAGTAACAAAGTAGTTGAATTTCTAAATAACTGACAGTGTGCATAATACCTACCAGAGGTATTTTAAAAAAGGAAGCTTTTTGTTTAAGACGTCTAAGTTGGAGAACACCTCAAAAGTTTCAGTAACATGATTTGAATGCAAGTTTAATTTTAATTGGTGATATGGAATTGTATTATATCTTTTAGTCTAATTTCATAGTATAACTAATTTCATAACTTTATACCACTTTATTGCTCCTAAATGCATGGTTCTGTTACATGAATTAGCTCACACAGTGTGAATAAGTAGGTGAATGTTGTCAGTGTGTACAATGTGGAAGTTGCATTGACTCCATTATACCCATTTCCCAATTTAGAAAAAAAATTTTTTTAATGTTTATTTTTGAGAGAGAGAGAGCAAGTGAGCACAGGTTGGGGAGGAACAGAGAGAGAGGGAGACACAGAATCCAAAGCAGGCTCTAGGCCCTGAGCTGTCAGCACAGAGCCCAACATGGAGCTCGAACGCATGAACCACGAGATCATGACCTGAGCCCAAGTTGGACACTTAACTGACTGAGCCACCCAGAGACCCCCCCGTACCCATTTCCCCATTAAGTGTGCACCACAGAGTAGCAATTACTAAATGTAAATGTGCTGGTGCAGTTGAATACAGCTAGCCATGGAGATTATGGTACAGGGCAGATGGACACATCTTTTTGGCTATGTGCTTCATTGTAGGTGTTATTGAATGTTTATCCCTGTTTTTGCTCTCTATGTAATTTATCAATTCCTTGTACTTTCTCCCAATACGTTACTCTCTCTGCTGCTCCTCCCTTTTTTCTGCAACTTTCTATATTTCCTACAATATTTTTTCTACGAGGAATTACAAATGCATTAACTACACTAGTACTTTTTATTGTTAATTATATTTGTTAGTTCTATACATATTTAGTAGTTTGCCCCAAACTCTGTTTTTGGATAAAAATTTTCTTAAGTATAAAATTTTACAGAATGTATTTTCAGGAACACACATTTATTTATTACAAAATATACTGGTATACCCTATGGGAATGTTCTTTCGTTTAACATTTTCTTAGTAGAGCATCTCTTTTTAAACATTGTGAATGCTTATATCTCTAATTATAATTTTTTTAACTAATTTATGTCTGAAAAACTCAGTTCAGTTTAAAATTTTTTTTTAATTTTTAATTTTTTTAAACGTTTATTTTTGAGAGAGAAAGAGTACAAACAGGGGAGGGATAGAGAAAGGGAGACACAGAATCTGAAGCAAGCTCCAGGCTCTGAGCTGTCATCACAGAGCCCGATGAGGGGGCTCGAACCCGGGATCACGAGATCCTGACCTGAGCTGAAAAGTCAGGAGGCTTAACCAACTGAGCCACAGGTGTCCCCTCAGTTCAACATTTTAAACAAAACTCTGTGTAGGGAAATTGATACATTTTATATTATACATTATATAGAATTAGTAGAATGTCTGATTCACTTGAAGATGTTCTGAACAGCATGTCAACAAAAAGGGTGTGTGGGTCTAGAATGTTGCTGTCCCTTAAGATAGTTCATGTTACTGCATGCAAAACAACTCTTTGTTAATAAGTTTATGATTTGATGAATAGGAAGCAGAGTTTTTAGGTCCTAGCAAGGTAGTTATAATAGGTATTCTGTTTTGGTTACATTTTAGGAAATTAGATAGGGGTTTTGTTTTGTCTTGTAAGATGTTAAATTTTGTTTCCAATGGAAATAATGGGAAATAAGCTTCCAGTTAACAGTTTCATACTTTTCAGGAAGAGATTACTGATGTTAAGCAGAATTCCCCACTATCTGAAAATAGAGCATTCTTATGAAACCTTTCATGAGCCAAAATGGCATATAATAAGTGAAGAAGTGATTATCATTAGTTTCTATAGAAAAAATTTTGAGGTTCTCTTACCCAAAAAATAACCTCTCTCTTAACACAAAATAACACAAACTCTTTTTTTTTGCTTTTTAACTTTCTTTGTATAAACAAAGTAGCCTAATGGAAACTTTCGAAAAGCACTCCTATGTATCCTGGAACAAACCTGAGGATTAACTCTTAAAGAGTTAAAACCCATAAAGGAAACTATAGGTATATTAGTATATCTACTACTAAAAATTAGGAGATTTTTGTTGTACTCACAGTGTGAGTTAATCATAGCTGCCCCTATTTATCAGGAAAATTAGCCATCAGAAGTTCACCAGTGGACTTCCACTTAGGTAATTGGCAGACCTGTGTCACATGCTATTCTCCAGATACAAATGAAGATTGGAATACTAAGTGTTTAGTTTTTACAGTTTCTGTTATGACAGCATGTTTAGAGAAGACCACAGTTTCAGAAGATCACCTTTTAGATACAGAATGATTAATAATTCTAATTTGGAGTTAGAAATAATCTCAGTAGAAAATTTAAGTTAACGGGGCACCTGGGTAGCTCAGTCGGTTGGGCGTCCGACTTCGGCTCAGGTCATGATCTCACGGTCCGTGAGTTCGAGCCCCGCATCGGGCTCTGTGCTGACAACTCAGAGCCTGGAGCCTGCTTCCGATTCTGTGTCTCCCTCCCTCTCTGGCCCTCTCCCATTCATGCTCTGTCTCTCTCTGTCTCAAAAATAAATAAACATTAAAAAAAAAATTAAAAAAAAAATTTAAGTTGACATATTCATGTAAACTAAACTAGTATAACTCAGGGCACAAAACTCTTGAGTGTACTATCCAGCATTGAATGACATCTTTATAATCAGTTGAGAATGACGTACACTAGTCAGTCATTAATAGTTTCATATCCTTTTAGTAATTGGTTAGCCTTACCTGTCTACCAACATTTGAGTATTTTAAATAATACCAGACATGTGATAGTCATTAGGGATCACAAAAACACATTTATACACACAGATAACATGAAGCTTTCAAGCTTTTGAGTTATCTTTGCCCAGAGAGTTCATTCTTCCTTTAGCTATTACAACAGGTCATAGAGTTGATTTTTAAAGTGAAATTTATTTATCTAATGTTTAAAGGATATTTCCACCTCTTTTATTAATGAAGTTGTTTGTAGGATCAGAATATTTTTATTTCCTTATTTTTATTTGTAATACAAGTCATTTGTGTTCTTGTTTGACCTTTACAAAACAATTTATTGTTATCCCCAGTTAACCTGATATTCATGCAAGTCATAAGTGAAAAAATAGTGTTGTCAAGGTAGATTTCGCAGCTTTGGTAAGGTGCAATTTTGTGATTATTTAGCCTATCTCAGATTATAAGTGAGAAAATGAAGTGTGGGTTTTTTTTTTTTTTTTTTTTTGCTTTTGTTTTGATGGTAGATCATGAGAATTTACATTTATAGCTAAGCTAATTTTAATTTTTAAAATGTTTTTTTTTTCCTTTTTTAAATTGAAATTCATGGTAAGTACCAGGGAGTTCTATTATTTGATGTGTTGAATCTGTGAGTTGTCAATTGTCTAATATCCCCAAGCGTTGAGATGGAGTTGAATGGAATGTTTTACATGGTTTCCTCTTAATCACTGCACTCAGTGCTGTGAAAAAGTCAAGCATTATGAAAGCTCAGATTAAACTGCATGAAATAAATTAACATTTAAATAGATGACAACTTGGAATTTTAGAAAAGAGCATGTTAATATTCTTTTTTGTGTGTTTGAGTAAACAAAGCATAAGAGAGGGAACACACTTGGAGTTTTTCTTTGTTGTTCTAATGTGTTTCATCCATTGGGGTTCCCTTTTAATTAAGCTTATGCATTCTATAATCTCCAGACTTATTCTTCATTCCTCTCAAGGGGATATATGTACAGATTTAATTTTTGTTGGTGAAGAGAATGAGAGCCATATGTTTATCTGGTTTTGTCTGAAAGAGAATAATGGCAAATATAAAAATATTTGAAAAGGTGATAATGGAAGTCTAAGTTACTATTTAGAGACAGATGTGAGAGGAAGTAACATGCATGCCAGCAAACTGCTACAGACTTTCACCACAGCAGTAGTCCCTGTCTCCAGAGATTTTTATCTCCAAAATCCTTGAAATGTTCTTTTTGTTTCTTCTGTGATTTCATTTGAATTTCAATTTATTAACATTACTGTAATTCTGAAAATGTGTAATAAATTGATATTTGGTCTGGCTTTTCCTTGCCTCCTGTCATTTTTGCCTCTTATAGGGTTATTTCTTAATGGGGGAGAACGGATATAATAGAAAAAACATACTAAAACTACCTTGGATTTAAGTACTACAGACAGCAAAAACAATGGTAACTAAGTGCAAAAACAGCTTATCTTCCTTATAAAATTTTTATATATACAAGAAAAGTACCAAGAAAGATTAAGCTTAATTTAGAGGGACAGTCATTACTGGTGTTTTAAAGACTCTGAAGGCAAGATGGAAAAAGCTGAAAAGCTTCTTTCTGTATTAAGTAAGGATCAACTAGACTGCAATATTAAGTAGATACTAGAAAGAGCACTAGCTTATTAGACAAAGTGGAACTTTATTTCTAGCTCATCTGACAGCCATGATATTCTAGGTTGGCAAAATTCTGCTTCACACAGTCATTCAGAAATGCAGCTGTAGTGACATTATTACTTTTAACACATAGCTTCCAGAGCATTCTGGGAGCATCACCCCATTAGCCAGAAGGAAAAGCCTTGGCCTGACCCCGTAACTATTTCCTGTTACTCTGTAAGGTTTGTTGCAACCTGATTCCTGGCTGCAGATGGCAGTGTTTGTCAACTTCAGGTTTTATGAGAAACGGTGTATTAATTCTTGTCAATCACCCACAGAATAACCACCCTGCAAAAAAACTAAAAATGAAGACTCCAAAGGAACCAGTTTGATTTTCAGATAATACAAAAGTAAGACAAGGGTGGTTTATCAAAGAGAATACTGAAGGAACCTTTCTTGCCTTCTCAGTCTTTTGAGAACAGAGTAGTGAAATAAGGAAGAAACCTCTCAGAAGAACAGTGTTTCTTCTCTAAAGTGAGGTTGTAAAGAGGTGTGATGAGTCAAATCACATGATGGCTTGGTTCACATATTTACAAATTAAAGCTGTAGTCTACTGTGATTATGAAAAGAGTTTAAACTCATTAAATGCTGTGTATTAATGAAAGAATGTAAAAGAATGGGTGAGGTTGTTTCTGTTATTTCATGGAAAGAAATAGATAAAATATATTTTGTTGAATCTAAGTATTAGATACATTTTAAAAGAGCTGTACATCATAAATGGTATTGAGTACAAAATGTTTTGGCTATTTTACTTTTCACTAGAACTTATTAAGACAAAGTAAACATACTTAAAAAATAAATGTTCTCCTTTTTTCTTTAATTTTCTAGATGTGACTTACCTAACAGAAGATACGGTATATGAAATTCTTGAATTATGTAGAGAGAGAGAGGATTATTCCCCTTTAATCCGTGTTATTGGAAGAGTTTTTTCTAGTGCTGAGGCATTGGTACAGAGCTTTCGGAAAGTCAAGCAACACACCAAGGAAGAACTGAAATCTCTTCAAGGAAAGGATGAAGACAAAGATGAGGATGAAAAGGAAAAAGCTGCATGTTCTGCTGCTGCTGCTATGGAAGAAGATTCAGAAGCATCTTCTTCAAGGATAAGTGATAGTTCACAAGGAGATAACAACTTACAAAAATTAGGCCCTGATGATGTGTCTGTGGATATTGAGGCCATTAGAAGGGTCTACACCAGATTACTCTCTAATGAAAAAATAGAAACTGCTTTTCTCAATGCACTTGTATATTTGTCACCTAATGTGGAATGTGACTTGACATATCACAATGTATACTCTCGAGATCCTAATTATCTGAATTTATTCATTATTGTAATGGAGAATAGAAATCTCCACAGTCCTGAATATCTGGAAATGGCTTTGCCATTATTTTGCAAAGCAATGAGTAAGCTACCCCTTGCAGCCCAAGGAAAATTGGTTAGACTGTGGTCTAAATACAGTGCAGACCAGATTCGCAGAATGATGGAAACATTTCAGCAACTTATTACTTACAAGGTCATAAGCAATGAATTTAACAGTCGCAATCTAGTGAATGATGATGATGCTATTGTTGCTGCTTCAAAGTGCTTGAAAATGGTTTACTATGCAAATGTAGTGGGTGGGGAAGTGGACACAAATCATAATGAAGAAGATGATGAAGAGCCCATCCCTGAGTCAAGTGAATTGACACTTCAGGAGCTTTTGGGAGAGGAAAGAAGAAACAAGAAAGGTCCTCGAGTGGACCCACTGGAAACTGAACTTGGTGTTAAAACTCTGGACTGTCGAAAACCACTTATCCCTTTTGAAGAGTTTATTAATGAACCACTGAATGATGTTCTAGAAATGGATAAAGACTATACTTTTTTCAAAGTAGAAACAGAGAACAAATTCTCTTTCATGACATGTCCCTTTATATTGAATGCTGTCACAAAGAATTTGGGATTATATTATGACAATAGAATTCGCATGTACAGTGAACGAAGAATCACTGTTCTCTACAGCTTAGTTCAAGGACAGCAGTTGAATCCATATTTGAGACTCAAAGTCAGACGTGACCATATCATAGATGATGCACTTGTCCGGGTAAGTTGGGCTAATGCTTAAAAATTAGTACTAGAATACATACCTAATGCTGGGGAGATTGTAATACAGTTCAGTGAATTCATTTTATAAGTGACTCTGAAAAAAAATGTATTACATGGTTTAGGAACACATGGACATTTTGTATTATAAATGTAAATATTATACTTTTGTTGTTCCTGTCCAAATTTATAAATGCGTCCCACAAACTATTGGTTGTCTTAAATAATGGTCACTTTGTCTTTGAAAAAGATTTTCTAAATATCGACAACTAACCCCAAAAGTTTTTTCTCTATTCAGAAGACAAGTGGATGTTGGGAAAAGACTAGAACACAAGAACAAGGGGAATGTGGAGACAGTAATAAGTATGAATGTCAAGCCTTAACTGGGAAGAGTGGTACAATAAAATCATACCATAGAATAATAAGTGGTATTCAAAAATTCACAAACTCTAAACGTAAAGTTTAGAGTTGGGTTATTGTGAAGTTGAAGTGATCTAGACACTTTAGCGTGAGTTGCCGGTAAGAGTTCCTGCTGGGTCACTCATAATGCCCCTGAATGGCACTGCCTGATTGTGGTATTTTCTTAACCACTTAAATAATCTGTATGAACTACTCTGGGTCTTGGAGTTTGTTGGAACTTCTAGGAAAACAGCAGCTATTCCAGGATTTCTTGAAATTAATGGTGCCTTGTTTCATAAACCCAATCCAGGGAGATTGAGCTAGGAGAATATTGGGAATACAAGTACCCACCTTCTAACTTCCTGTATCTCCAGATTGTTGCCTTTTGTTCATTCCTTCCCGCAGCAGAAAATAAGAATTTTACTGCCCCCATTTAAGTAAGAGTGCAGGCCTGTTCAGAAGACAGAAACCAGTTGCCAATCATGTACCAAAATTTACATTTGCCATAGGGTGCTTTATTGCCGGATTTTATTGTATTCAGAATATTAGATACACCCATCATTACTAGTTCTTTTTTTTAACCACTTTAAGTAAAATTTGATGCCAGCTAAAATTAAGATGCAGTAAACCTTCCATACTAGTGGAAGATAAACCATGACACAACTAGGAAATTGTGGTATTTATTTTAAAATATATTTTAGCTTTAGAATTGGTTTGTCTAAATCTGAATATTCATAAAACTTAACCAGTGGAAAAAGTTGTTTGACACCTCAGAAACTTAAAAGTTTTCGAGATTTTTATGCCTCTTTTGTTTGTTAATTGGTTTTTTAAAACATCAAATATATTTCCAGTATTGAAGAAAAGTTCTACACTATTTAAACAACTCAAGCAGTTTTTCAACAGCGGCAGAAAGAGGCATTAATTGTTTGGAGTAATTACTGTTGCTTGCTTTCTGATGCTCTTTTTATTTTACTCCTGTAGTTTTGAGCTACATAAATAATTAATATACTTAACAACTCATCATCAGGCAGCCAGCAACTTTACATAATTTAGCAGAAAGTAGGGTATCTTACAAAAGTGTGAGTGATGTTTTGTGAAAAGGACATTGAAGTCTTCTATGAATTTCGATTGTTAGAGCAGAACTGCATATCCCAAAACAACACATTTTATGTTTGGCTTCTTGAGTTGGGATTCTTTCATCTATTTCCAGCAAAAGCTGTGCCTGGCTTTTAAAAAGCAGTGAAATCACTCTGTATAAGATTCAATCCAGAATTTAAAAAAAAATGTTGTCCACCTTCCTTATCTGCCTTCTGCTAAGAAATCTACCCAACTTTATTTTCCTTCCCCCGCCTTGTTTCCCACCACCACCCCCTTAGTAAAGCAAGGCTAAGAATCAACGAAAGTTTAAGTACTTGTTGTATACTTACTTTATTCTATCATCTAGAACTTTGAGGAAACAATCATTTTGGTTTATAAGGCCTTTTTTAAAGCATATGTTAGGATAAGATTAACTGAACTTTTTAATTATGCTAAGAAATTGGGTTTTTTTAGTGAGTTCTGCTTCATTATACCAAACCTGAATATTATAATTTGACCAGTTATAAATTAGGATTCACTAGATAATACCTGTACTTAAATTACCAGTCCACAAAAGCAGTTTGATTTAGAAATCTTCTGTGTGAGGCATTTTGCTAAGCAGTAAAGATGTAAAGATGAATCATGACCACCGAGAAGCTTCTTAGGGGCTCTAAATATTCATACTAAGCAAATTTTACTCTTCCCTTTTTTCTTTTGCTTTCTTTTTTAATAACAATATGAAGGGCCAGAAAAATAAAATCATCAAAATAGCCTTGTGAGTCAGTTAATTGATGCTCTATTTTTTAAAAAGTATTCATAGAATGTGTGATTATGATAAAAATTATAGTATTTTAGTAGCAAAAAGTAAAAGGTTTACAACAAAAAGTAGTTTAAGGACATCCTCTCAGCTGAACTCCCAAAAGTACTGATGGGTTTTAACATCTTATTCTTCAAGGATCTACTTTGCTTTTTTAAAGCCTCATTCTTTCTTCTATGTCAGTTTGACAGACAAAATAAACCTATTGACCACTTTCTTATGGCCTGCTAATTTAGGGTCAGGAAAAAGAGGAAATGAGAAACTTTGTGGTGAGCTCAATATTAATAATTAAATAATTAAGGTTATAGGATTGTAGGCTTTAAGAGCTAAAAGGAGGCTTGGAGTTCATCTCCTTAGTATACAAATGAGACCCAGAAAATAGTGACTACATATATGACAGTCTTGAGTATGTTTTCTGTTAGGTCCTATTTTTCAGTTAATTGTCAGGCTGACTGTCATGGAGGAAAAGGGAGGGGTAGTACCTTCAGTTGATAATTACAGATTTTTTTTAAATGAAAAATATGTTTGCCACCTTCTCATACCATGTAATTCAGACCAGACTAGCAGATTATTTCCTAACTGGAGTTTTTTCTAGAGGAACTATCTTTGGTGACAGCTGAATTAGTGTTTACAGTTATTTTATTGAACCTTAAATGCTATTGGTTATAGGACCCACTATTACTACTAAAAAAGAAAAAAAGACTGCCAGTTAGTTGTGAGATGCTACCAGTTGTATGGTATATCCATAATTTCAGAGATGTTAAAGTGCAAAAACAGAAAAATGAATTTTAGAATCAGTGAAATATGGTAAAATATTAACTGCCTTTTCACAGGTAGGTATCTCAGAATCATTTAAGAACTACTCCCATACCTGTAAGTTGCTGGAATGTTTCCCCCAGGGCTTACTTTCACTATTTTTTATTGTTTCTTAGAAAATAGTACAGTGATAGTTATGAGCTCATTTGAATTAAAACAATTCTAACATAAGGTTTTTATAGTATTTTACTCATAACATTTGTGTATTTGTGTATTCTTTTAAAAGTAGATATTTTGTCATTTTTCTTAGACCAAGCATTCCCAAAGGAAAAGGATATAAAATTTTATTCATACTTTTATCTTAGATTATGTTAGGAGAGTATGAGTATCATGGAAGACAGTATTGCCATCTATGACATACCCTGAACTGTCTTCACATCAGAATGGGAAATTTGTTTAAAAGAAAAATTTCAACGTTCTGCCCTCTAGAGATTCAGATTAGGAAGTCTGGTGTGGAGCCTAGAAATCTATATTTCTGGTCATGTCCACAGATACTCCCATAAAGCCAGTCTGCAAACCAGTATTTGGGAAGATAGCAACTAGTACGGTTTATATATACATATTTATTGAGGCCATTTTTATATACAAGTACATACTGGGAAAACTGGCAGTCTTTGAAAAGGTGGTGAAAATAGCAGGTGTAGAAATAGGATTGACAGTGGTCTGAGACTTGGTTCAGATTAGGTTCTTGGTTCTGGGAATCCTAGAATTTTGAGTGGGGATCTAAAGACTGAAAGGAATGGCTGAGTAGAACTGGATAGGAAAGTCCAAAACTGTGAACTGGAACAGATAAAGATGATAAGCACAAATGAAAAGCCCCCTACTACCAATTAGTTCTGCTCAGTCCCCTGTAAAAAAATCATTCATTTTTTCTGGGCTCTAACAGTACTGTCTGACCCAGCCCCCAGTATTTTCCTTGACACACACCCTTAGTTATTTAAATAAAACCTGATTCTTTTATTTAACAATTGATCTACAGTGCTTTAAGAATCAGATTATCTTGTGCTGTTCTGAGTATGATTAATTTTATCTTGTACATTCACTTTATTGTGCTTAATGCAATGATGATTATTGTTTCTTAAGATTTATTCTAAAGGAAATTAACTTCATGTCTGATTTATGTACTCAAAGGAGATTAGGAGAATGAAGCAGATCTACATAGATTCTCCGCATCATATAATAATCTAAAAAAATGAAATTTGTGAAACTCCTTACTGTTACATGTGAGAAAAATGAATCTCAGATTCTGGCCTGTATAAATTAATGGCAGGATTGGAACTGTTAGAACTCAGGGTTCCTGGTCTCACAAGCAGATATGATTAAATGATTTGGCTGTTACTGAAACATCTAAACTTTATGTGTAAAATAGTAAAAAAAAAACAAAAACAAAAACAAAAAAAAACAAAAAAAACACTTTATCTGTTCATAGATAAATGAAAAAATTAAATATACTTAAATAATCTAAAGATCTTGCTCCAGTCAGTAGCTTAAAGGTGTAAACAAACTGTTTAACCATAGAGTCTAATAAGTTGACTGAAGTTGTTTTAAGCCAGCCATTCTTAGAGAACGTAGGCATTCTTAAGAATTAGGTCTATTTTATGTGAATACTACTTAAATATCCATACCATTAAGGAATTTTTTCAACTATTGGTAAAGATAACTTTGTCATGAATAATAATAGCCCAGAATACTGTAAGATTTTAAAGGATAGGGTTTTCCTTTTAACGCTTTTGCATCTGGCAAGTATGATATTTTTATATTAAGATGTCATCCTACCTAGGTATTCTGGGAATGCTTTGATACCAGATCAATTTTTTTAAAAAATGATCTCTCTAGGATTTCATCATCATGGCCAATTAAAAGTTCAGAAATTGAAAATCGTTTTATCCAACAATTGATGAAATCAAGAGTCTTAGTAAGAAGAGGAAGTCATATAAGGAAGAGGTAGATGTTATTACATCCAGTCTGTTGTTTATTTTAACCCAGTAATCTGCATTTTGCTAGTCTTCATATTAAATTAATACAAAATATACCCTACTTTAAGAAAACCTATATATAAAACTACAAGTCTGTATACTAAATGATTTCAATTCAAGGATGCATACAAATACTCCTTTTCAGAATGTTCACTGACCTAGTCTTTCAATTTCCAAGTATCCTGTATTCAAGACAGCTTTTGATTTTCATAATTCTGTTTTAAATGCTATGTATTTATTACAGAAAGTTGTATACCTTTACAATTCAGTTCTGAAATCATTCTCTGATTGAACAGTGGGTCAGAAGTGGTTGTGTTTAAGAAAAATAAAAATGTAGCCCCTTAATGGCCTTTGTCAAATGGTAACTGGCAAATTTTATGCTATAATTAAAAGTAAACATTGTTTTTAAAGGTAGACTGCCCATGTATACATAAATGATAAAGTATTTTACAGAACCACTTAATATATACCTAGGTATATATTAAGTATATAGTATATATAAATACTTATATATATTAAGTATAGAACATAGGTAATGGAAATTTTTGCCTGCAGAGTTCAGTTGCCATCTATTTTTAAAATCATTCTTTTTACATATTTACATGTGACTACATCCTGATTCTGAAATACATGTTTATTGTAAAAACTAATTGAAAATACAGAAAACATGAAGAAAATAAAAGTCACTTACAATTTCAAAAAAGATTATTGCTAGTTATTGAAGAGAGGCAGGAAGGCATAATAGTTAAGAGCTTCCTTCTGGATTAGAATCTGTTCTATTTACTAACACTAAAAGCAAGTTATTGAACCTCTCATGACTTTGGAGACTTCATCTGTAAAATGGGATTGATAATATTACTGGCCTCATAAGATTGTTGTGAAAATGCAGTGAATTGATATATGTAAAGTGCTGAGAATAGTGCCCTGGCACATAAGTGCTATATATTATTCTTGTGTTGTTACTGAAATATTTTTGTTCTGTAATATCTGGGTTGTTAGGTTTTCAGGCATGCCTGAAAGAATTTTTAGTACAAATAAAAGTAACAATAACAAAAGCGTTGTTGTACAGGGAATTCATCTAGTGCTTCACATATATTAATTTTTTATTATATCATTTTCATTTTATAGATGAAACTAAAGCAAAGAAAGAAAGCTATATGTTTACAATTATAATTATAAAATATTATATTGAATTATTTTGGCACTCAGGGTGGAGAGCACTGTGGAGATTGATGGAGACAGACAGACATTTAATATTTTATAAGAATGAAGTTAGGGGCTCCTGGGTGGCTCAGTTGGTTGAGCATCTGACTCTTGATTTCAGCTCAGGTCATGTTCCCAGGGTTGTGGGATCGAGCCCCATGTTGGGCTCTGCACTGAGTGTGGAACCTTCTTAAGATTCTCTTTCCCTCCATGTGCCCCTCTCCCCTGCTCACATGTTCTCTCTTTCTCTCTAGAAAAAAAAAAAAAAAAAAGGTATTAGGAACATCTTTTAAAAAAAAAAGGAATGAAGATAAATTTGTTTCAGTGTCCTATGAGGTGTCTTAGGTGGAACTAAGACTACAACACATGGCCTCTGAATCCTGTAGAATCGACACCGAATCCTTTAAAAGATATCAATCACATTGATAATGGAGTCAGCTCTCATTTGTGAATGTTAATAAAGAGGACTATAGGAAGTATAATTTAAATAGCAGATAATCAGTTTTTTCACCTCAGAATGCATTATACTTTTGATATAAGCAGATTTGTCTTTGTGTTATAAGGGCATATATATAAACATTGACTTATATTCCTTTGACACCTAGGCAGGTGGGAACTGGAAGAAGGAAACTAGGAATGCGTTCCATGGCAATATAGGATGTTGGCGTGATGGGTAAACCACATTGGAGCTGATAATTCTAATTTAGTTCTCAGCATTCTTTATTTTCTGTGGCTTGAAGCAGGTTTCCAACTGGAACTATTTTTCCCCAAGGTTCTTTCAAACTTGGGACTAGGCTATAAAATCAAATTATGAATCTTATGTTCAAAGATCAAAGTTGTTTTAAAAGGTTGCAACATGATGTGTTATCTTAGTAATATTGTCTGCTCTAGAACTCTTCTGTATATTTTTATTAAGCCTTCACATCTTTGCAGTATGAAGAGTACTATCCCTTTTTTTTCTCTGCAGATGAGGAAACAGGCTTACCTGAGTCGCTTGCTAAAATTTAAAGTTTAAAAGTTAAGTGATAGTTGGAACAACTACAGAGTATTTATTCTGTCTCAATTCACAACACTCTGTCACAAAAATAAATTATCTTTAAAAACTTGGCATAAATTTTTTTTTTGGTAAATACTAAAGACCATTGTTACACAGGACATTTCTTAAAGCTAAAGATTCTAAATTCACAGACTCCAAAAGTTGAAGATATCTAGATTATTTCAGCCTTTGTTCTTAAAACTTTTTTGACTGTATTCCCAAGTAGGAAAGTGATACTTTACATAGCATAGGTACATACATGTATGTGTATCTGTCTATACTTATAGTTGAAACAAAAGTTTCACAAAATGGTTGATGCCATTACTATGTGGAACACATTCTCTTTCCTCCCGTTGTTGGTTTTAAACCACTAAATGAATTGGGCTGCCCACTAATGAGTGGCAGTTGACAGTTTGAAAAACATTGATCTAGGACAACTGTCCGGATTCATGAATTTGAGATTTTATTTTTCTATAGACCTACTAGAATGTCCAAACCAGTACTGTTACCTAAAGTAATTGCTTGAGGACTATAGTACAGTTGTTTTGATGATGTTTGCATTGCTCAAAACCATTTTTAAAATTATAATTGCAATGGTTGGAATAACTTGAACACTTGTAAATACTCTGTTTTGGCAAATTTCAAATTTTTTAACCGCCAGAAGGCATTTTAAGTCTGTTTAGCAAATAAAGCGGGTGATCAGTCAGGCATGCTATTAGTAAATTTCAAATACATTAAAAACTGGAAGTATAAATAGTTCACATTAGTATTTAGTGTGTATTTTCTGATTAATCTCTTAATGACTGAGATCACTTACTGTGTATTCTATAGATTCAAAAAAGTATCTAGTAAAGATTTATAGTTGAAAAATGTAACTGTTAGTAAGAAATTAAAAGTAAGGATGTAAGCAAGCGTAAATCTCATCTGCTTTCAAAAAAAAGTATATATAAGATGTCTTAGGTTCCATCAAGACGTGGCAGTTTGTATTAAATGCTATAAGAGACCATAAGCTGCTCCCTATTTACCCAATATGTTTCTTCTCTTAATTGAAAGTATTTTATTCATGGCTTAATAGATAACAAAACTTAATTCCTTAGTTTCTATTCTATTAAACATAAAGACTTACTAGCAAACAAACTTGAAGTCAAACTTCTGTACTCTGTTGTTTTTGCTGAAATGATTTAGTTTGAGTAGTCACTTATGTATTTGGCTGTGTTGACTTCTTTCCATGTCCTAACCTTTAGAGCCCAGGTTTGTTATACAGAAGTAACAGAAAATCTAATTTTAATTTTCTACTGTATGTTAATTTCATGACAAATCAATAGTTAGAAAGTAACTCTTTTATTATTCTATGCCGATTTCTTTTCTGTCCTATTTTTCCATTATCTGTGAGACTGAATCTTTGCCTTTACTGGCTTTTTACTGGTTTGCTTCCTGTTTCCATTTAAAACAAACCAAAAGTCAGTATCTTTTATTTGCTCCATAGCCTGAATCCTTGTTTTTATTTTTTCTACTTATTTTTATTTTGCTTTCATCCTTAAACTGGCAGTCACCTTCTTTTCACTTTATCTTTTCACTCACTAGCTAGAGATGATCGCTATGGAAAATCCTGCAGACTTGAAGAAACAGTTGTATGTGGAATTTGAAGGAGAACAAGGAGTTGATGAGGGAGGTGTTTCCAAAGAATTTTTTCAGCTGGTTGTGGAGGAAATCTTCAATCCAGATATTGGTAAATATTTTAGTGATGTGATCATGATGTCATATCTTTTTGATTTAAGGGTTTGTTTACCTAGGTTTATAAATATTCTCAGTTACAAAGAGTAAACAGTAGGTTTCAGTATAGATTTCCTAGAATCACAGAAAATGACTGAATTTGGGTTTGGGGGAGTGATGTGCATCACTCATTTATTCAAGTTCTTATTTAGATTACTTAGCCAAATATTTTACTGTAGGAAATTGCCTTTTAGGTAAGTCAAATTGAAAACCCTTTAGAATGGTACATTAGAACAATTGAAGGATTTCTTTGCTCTTTTTATTCGAAAACATTCTTCAGACTCACGGCATTTCTGAAATGAGAGTTTCATACAACAATTGTCTGAAGAATGTTGAGAATGTCTCACAAGTGTATCATGCACAAAGTTTGGAAACCCTGACTGGTATCAAATTAATTAGGTTTATTTACTACAGGATTTCAGGAGGCTTAATATTATGCTTTCCCAAACTTTTTGAACTTCAGAAGCCTTTTTCCACCCCACCTTTAATAACATTTGTCTCTCAGAAGTGTTTTTTCATTGAACAGTTTGGGAAAAACTGATCTACATATCTCAGTCTGAAAGTTGAAGGATTTGAATTTTACTGGTAGACAAGTAGGCACAGTGGAAGTGGTAAAAGACAACAGCTTCTTGGATAGATAATTCTGAACTGATTCAGTTTATGCGATGTAACCACTTACTTGGTTACCAGGTTTGCTTACTTTTAAAAACAATGCATGACCATCATAGGAAAAGGATTCCGCTAAAGGTACTTTTAGAATTGTGAAGAATATGACATAGAATAATGCAGATCATTTCCTTTAAGCTTTGAGAATTGAGCTCTTACAGCCTGTTGATTGTCAGTATGTACATTGAATTGACTTTTCTGTTATTGTTCTTAGCTGGCCATATATACACACAAACGTGCAAATGGACATAGACGTTTTGAGTTCATGACATAAATGTAGTTAAAGTAAGACTATATATTTTAGCTAATGTTTATTAATAATCAGAAAGCTGTGTAATTTGCATATAATTTGTTCAAAGTAAACCAAGACACATAAAACCATGCCTTTTTTGTGATAGAAAATTAATTTATGAGCTTCATAGGTTTGGTAAACCTTTGCTCTGGATTCCTTTGTATCTCAACATGTAAAACATTAGCTGTAAATAAAATATACTTACATTATATGCAGAAATACTTTCAGAAAAAAAACATAAACAGTTCTACTTGATAGTAAAGTAATTGAAATGGTTAAAAATACCAAATATGGAATATTTGGTTAAATATACCAAAATAGAATATTTTATAAGAACTACCTTTTATGGTGCATTTCTTCCAGGGACCTGGCAAAAATGTGCCCAAAATAGATCACTTTGAACCTTAAAATTATTATCTTTCATTTCATACACAGGAGAGTAATGACCTGTGTAATTTATATTCTGATTAATTTAGTTTATTGCTCTTGAGACCAAGGACATACATTTGTGAGATTTCATCAAATTTATTGTTTTCAACTGTTCTTGACTTTGTTCATACCATATTTATAACTAAGTGAAGTTTTTTACTTCAATGAATCTTGTAACTTAGACTTGTAAAAAAATTTAGATCTAAACTGAAATTCAGATAAGAATTGGATAATTTTCAGACTGTTATTTTGTGAATTGTAACTTCCATTAGAAAAACATCCTAGCTTACTTTGTACTCTTATGATCCAGGGGACATTTTACGGTTCCTTTGTATTTAACTTAAGCTAAATGTGAAAATAAACATTTTTAAAGCTTTCAAAAATCATATGAATTGACATATTTATGTGCCAAATTGATTTCTAAAGTTTGTTCTATTAGAAATTGCCCTTTTCAGACCTAATTCTTAAAATATTTTCATTCAGTTGCACAGTAGCAACTGAAAAACATTTTAGTAAAGTAAGAAAAATCGTAAATTCATTAAAGTATCATATAACCTTTCCTTAGATATTCTGTTTGTTTAAAGGGAAGAAGATAATTCTGTCTTAGTAATGGTTTTAGATAGGTAAACGAAACATTCCTACTTTTTAATTGTTTTTTTAATGTTTATTTTTGAGAGAGAGAGAGAGAAAGAGAGTGTGAGTGGGGGAGGAGCAGAGAGAGAGGGAGACACAGAGTCCAAAGCAGGCTCCAGGCTCCCAGCCGCCAGCACAGAGCCCGAAGCTGAGCTAGAACCCACGAACCATGAGATCATGACCTGAGCCGAAGTCGGACGCTTAACCAACTAAGCCACTCAGGCGCCCTGAAACATTCCTACTTTTTAAGATGAATGTTACAAAAAAAATCTCCAAGCTTGGGTTTCGAATAGTGAAAAACATATGAAATTGAAAGAAGGCTACAAATACAAACTACTTTTGTTTTACTCACTGGCTCACAATTAACGTGTATGTATATTAAATAGCCTTGGATTTTGGACATAATCTACTTTTATCAAATTTATTCAAGTTTATGTACTTGACTTCATCTGACTTCGTTAGGAGTTAGAAAAACTTCATAGGATCATTGTGCAGTTTTGGAAAAACAAAAACTTTTCTTTAATGAAATTTAAAATTGGTTTTTGAAAACAGCACATGTAGATTAAACATGTTTTTATACGTGAAACATTTTAAAAATATGGTAGCTTTTTTCCTTTTGGTTTTGCATTCATTTTCAATCAACCAGTGGATGTAGTAAATTAATTTCTTATTTGTATTAGTAGAAGATTAGAGAATTGAATTTAACGAACATTTTTCCGTTTTGAAAAATGCAGCCAAAATTGCCTGCTACTTGTTTCCTTTTTCCTTGGCTTCTTAAAATGACATACTACCATTTGCCACAATTTATAACAATCACATATATTTGAACTGTGGTCTCTCAAGTGCTGATGTAATAGAAAAAGCAATTTTTGTATGCCTACTATGTATAAGTTTGCATGTGTAATTATTTTATGTTTGTATTGTTCATTAGTCTATTTAATAAAATAGAAAAGTAATGTATTTTTTTAAAATCCTTTTTTATAGGTATGTTCACATATGATGAATCTACAAAATTGTTTTGGTTTAATCCATCCTCTTTTGAAACTGAGGGTCAGTTCACTCTGATTGGTATAGTGCTGGGTCTGGCTATTTACAATAACTGTATACTGGATGTACATTTTCCCATGGTTGTCTACAGGAAGCTAATGGGGAAAAAAGGAACTTTTCGTGATCTGGGAGACTCTCACCCTGTAAGTCTGGCATTTTTTATTTGATCATTTAGCTTTATTTAAAAGCAAAACTATAATTTATGTAAAAAACTACAGTTTTCATTTGGAATCAGTTTCACTTGTTAATATTTATACCTAATAAGTTAAAGTTGTTTTAACCTGTTGCAGTACCATGAATACCTAAAAACTCAAGAAATTTATTATATATTACTTTCAGCAAGCAGGTTTTGTAAAATTGATTCTGTAGAAAAGGGTTTTTAAACATGTTTGTTTTTTAAAACACATGAGATTGCCACGTGAAATCAGAACTGCTCTGGATAAGGGGCTTGGTGGCTACAGTTAGTATGTTGTTTCTGTCTCGAATCCCTCCCTCACTATGAGACACCTGAGGTTCACTCATAGAGCACAGTGTGAAATCCATTGCTAAATTGATGCTGTGGTTTTCTCAGCACTGGATGGGACATACCAGTGACTGACAGTCTTTCTTTAGAGTAAACTATTTGAGGGACAAGAAGGATACTTCCTATTCTTTAGTCTTTGTTGTCATTTTTTTTCCCCAAGAAAAATGATGCTAACTTATATTTTATAGCTCTGTGGTAGCCTAATTTGTCATTTCTGGTTGTTAGGTCCTATATCAGAGTTTAAAAGATTTACTGGAATATGAAGGGAATGTAGAAGATGACATGATGATCACTTTCCAGATATCTCAGACAGACCTTTTTGGTAATCCAATGATGTATGATCTAAAGGAAAATGGTGATAAAATTCCAATTACAAATGAAAACAGGAAGGTAATACATGTTTTTATATCATCATTGTCTTTGTCTCTTTATTAACAGAGTTTTAAAGCATATATACTTGTGATAAAGAAGTATCTAAAATAGTCCATACAAAAACTCAAGAAATCAAATACTCAAATTCTTTTAAATGAAATAGCCCCAGTGTTCTAAATCTTGGATGTAAGCTGGTATGAGAGCACATAGTTAGGCACTAAACCCCTTTTCAAGAAAGGGGGCAGGAATAGTAGATAGTGAGTGACACATTATGGCCATAAAACATTTTATAATAATGTAACTTGATAAAATATTATAATGTCTAAGTTAGGATTCACTTGCCTTTTATAATTTGGTATAACAGCTTATGTATCTAGTAAAACACCCACATTTTTGCTGAACTGGATACAGTAGGCAGCTTCCTAAATATTCTAGCACAGACAACATGAGGCTTCCTGGTTTGCTCAAATCCGGTACATTGCAGTTGTTAGGTTTTATAAATGGATGTATACATGGTTTAAATGTGTCTGTGTTTGTACACTTGGTTGAGGGAATGTCAAAATTGCATTAAGGCCCAGCTTTTATTTTAAGTCTGGTTTAATACAGTATCAAATTTGAAACTTACGTGTATAATTAGTTTGCATGGGCTTTTTATAGTTCAGTATTTACTATTGCAAAAAGTTGTGAAATTTTTAAAGGTACAGGCATACCTCATTTTATTGAGCTTCACTTTATTGCATTTTGCATATGTTGGGTTTTTTACAAATCAACTGTGGAAACCTTGTGTCGAGGAAGTCTGTCAGCACCAATTTTCAAACAGCGTTTGCTCACTCTGTGTCACATTTGGTTAATTCTCATTTTATTTCAAACTTTTTCATCATTATTATACTTGTTACGGTGATCTGTGATCAGTGATTAAGACTTGCTGAAAGCTCAAATGATGGTTAGCATTTTTTAGCAGTAAAGTATTTTTAAAATTAAGGAATATACATGGTTTTGGACATAGTGTTATTACAATCTTAATAGACTACAATATAGTGTAAACATTACTTTTATATGCACTGGGAAACCAAAAAATTCATTTGTCTTGCTTTATTGCAATATTCACTTTATTGCAGTGGGCCAAAACTAACCACGGTATCTCTGAGGTATTCCTGTATTTTCCTTTATATGTATAAAGTTTGAATCTTTAAAAATATTTTTGAGTGTTTGTTCTTTCTTGGGGAAAATGAAAACAAAACTAAAAGCTGTGCAGCTGAGTAGCTTGTTATGTTTTGTTTATATAGCATATTATAAGAAGTTCTTGTGGTTAATGTTTTCTGCAGGAATTTGTCAATCTCTATTCTGACTACATTCTCAATAAATCAGTAGAAAAACAGTTTAAGGCTTTTCGGAGAGGTTTTCATATGGTGACCAATGAATCTCCCTTAAAATATTTATTCAGACCAGAGGAAATTGAATTGCTTATATGTGGAAGCCGGGTAAGAAAGCAAAAAGTGTCTGCAAAAAATATATCGATTTATTGTTTGTAATGATGTATATATATTAAGATACATTTTCTTGAATTTGCAGAATCTAGACTTCCAAGCACTAGAAGAAACTACCGAATATGATGGTGGCTATACCAGGGACTCTGTTCTGATTAGGTGAGGTGTTTAATTCTTAAAAAGAAGATTTAAATTCATCAGAGGGGTGTGTACTTTATGCTTTAGGTCTTCATCTCTAGGTATTACTTCCCAAATAAGCAAACTCACAAATTCTCAATCTGTAATATTAAAAGTGTATTTGTAATATAATCACTAGTTTTCATTGTTAATCTTACGATTTATTTCTTAAGTGTTTTATGTAAGTCACATGTTTTCTTTGGCATTTGGGATATAAGTTATCTAATATTCTTAATGATTTTGATTAGCATGTGCTTGCTGCTGGTTAGAAAATAATGAAAATAGAGCTACCATCTCTGAATGTTTCTCCTTTCTTTTGAACCCCTATTTGTGAACTGTTTCTTCCCTACTTATATGAAGCACCTTATATGATATGTTACGTTCTTTTATTTAATCTTTATAATAATATGCCAAGATACGTATTAATGTTTGTTCTACACCTGAAGAAACTGAACCCCAAATTTTCACAGAAACAGGCAAAGATTCCCAATATTATCTACTTCCAGTCAAGCAATTAGCAATTGCTAATATTTCCTTTTCTGTACTACGCTATTCAATCTTAAAAGGCATAGGCTTCTTTCTTCCTCGCACAGATTGTTAGAAGAGCACGAAGATGCATCTTTGGCGCATCTTTGGGGTGGGGTAAGGTGAGAAGGAATGCAAACATAACTTCCTGGAGGTTGTCTCTAAAGGTTATTCCTGTAAGACTCCAATTTATGGACACCACAATGAATATCAAGTATAATTAGAAATAAATAATATTTTATGTTAAATTATTTTCTTCTGTTGTTTTGTTCTTCATCCTGGTGTGCAGGAGGCTACTGGTATTTCCTCTTTTTAGTACACCTTAAGTCATTTCTAGCAGCAGTATTGGAACTTACATACTCTAACCATTGTTCTTCTACTACTTGAAGTTTCAAAATTGACACATGAAAGGTTTGAGATATGGTGATGGAAAAAAAAACGGCACTTATGAGTCACAAGGAGTTCACAGTAGTATCTCTGTTAATGACAGTGATCACAGGATTTTGTAGCCTTAGTGTTTCTCTGAGAATAGTTGAAAATACCTTGTGTGTTCTTTATGGAGAAATTATTTTTTAAATTAAGGTTTAATTTGATTTCTAGCTTCTATAATAACATAATCCCTACTTGATACATATCTTAAGGTCATAAGTTAATGTGTGATTTGAAAGGCAAGTGAAAAGACAACAGGTTCCAAATCATTCTCACAGTTAATGGTATTCTAAATCTTTAAACAAAATTCAATTTCTTATTTTGTCAACCTTAATATGAAAATATTAATTATTAAATAGAGTCTACAACTAGTAGGAAGTTGAAGACAGAATAGTAATGATAGGGGCAACTGGGTGGCTCAGTTGGATAGACGTCTGACTCTTGATTTCAGCTCAAGTCATGATCCCAGTGTTGGGATGGAGCCCTGTGTCAGGCTCCACGCTGAGCCTGTGCCCCTCCCCCCACTCGCACTCCCTGTCTCTCAAAATCAATAAACTTTAAAACAACAAAGTGTAAAGATGTTGACTCACAGGCAAGCTTTTGTGTATATGTTTTCCAGTTGCTGATAAGACTCTCCCTGATTTCATTTGACTACTAAGAGACTTAGAGATATCTTTTTAAATGCCCCTTTTTACTCTTGGGGTGAGGTGAGAGGTGGGGACTGCAGTTTTCTTTTAATTGATAGTTTTCCGTTTCAAACGCTTGAGCAGATTCAGATTTGATTATCCTCTCCCCACAGTTCTTGTGATTCATTTCATTGAATCTTTCAGTATTATATCAGCCTTTGTTTCTAGGTAAGCCTAACTTAGCTGTGGTCTGTTAGTTTATAAATATGGTGCTCTGTTTATTTTATTAACCTTTTGTTAAGATTTTTTGGTCTGTATTCGTAAGGAATATTGACCAATAATATCCCTTTTTTGTACACATTTATCAGGTTTTGCTACCCTCACATACTGATTTGAAAGAGTACTGTTCTTTATTTTCAGAAATACTTCTGTAAGATTGGTATTTTTTTCTCTTAAATAAATTTGTTCAAATTCATCAGTGAGACCATCAGGGCCTGGATATTTCTTTTTCAGAAGGTTTTTTGTTTTTTGGAATTTTTTTTTATTTTGTTTTGAAATAACTATAGATTTATTGGAATTTTCTGTTAAACTACAGGTTGGTCCCCCATACCCTCCATCACTTTCCCACAGTGGTAACATTTTGCATAACTGTAGCCTAATATCAAAATCAGGAAACTGATATATGTTCAATCTACAGACCATGTTCAGATTTCATCAATTTTTCAGGCACTTATTTATATGTATGTGTAGTTCTGTGTACTTTTTGTCACATTGTATAGATGTGCATAACCACTATCATAATCATAATGCACAACTTTTTCATCACCAGAAGTGTGTCTCTTGCTATCCGTTTGTATGCATACTCCTACCCCTACAGCATGATTCCCTTCAGATCCATCAAAGTTGTTACATATATCAACAGCTTATTCCTTTTTATTCCTGCATAGTATTCCATGGCATAGATGTACCATATTTGATTTAACCATTCAACTGTTTAAAGGACACGTGGTTTGTTGTCAGTATTTGGCTTTTAGGAATAAGGCTACTAAACATTTAGGCACAGATTTTTACATGAACATAAGTTGTCATTTCTCTGGTATAAATGTCCAAGAGTGCAATCTTGGGTTATATGATAAACTGCCAAACTATTTTCCAGAATTGCTATACCATTTTACATTTCCCTGGGCAATATATGAGTGATCCAGTTTATATCATTGCCTGCATTTGGTGGTATCAAAGATGTTATTTTGTTCATTCTGCTGGGTATGTTGTGATATCTCGTGGTGTAATTTGAATTACTCTAGATGACAGTGATGTGGGATATCTTTTCATGTACTTATTTACCATCTGTATATTGTTTTTGGTGAAATGTCTGGTTATTTTTACTGTTGAATTTTGAGTTCTTCATATATTCTAGTCCTTTCTGAGGTATGTGCTTTTCAAATACTATGTCCTACTCTTGTAGCTAATCTTTTCATTTTCTTTAGAGAATCTTTTGCATAGCAGAAGTATTTAATTTTGATGAGCTTTGATTTTTCATTTTATGGATCATACTTTTTATTTTTTTAACATTTTTATTTATTTCTTGAGACAGAGCATGAACGGGGAGGATCAGAGAGAGAGGGAGACACAGAATCTGAAACAGGCTCCAGGCTCTGAGCTGTCAGCATAGAGTCCGACGCAGGGCTCGAACTCACAGACTGTGAGATCATGACCTAAGCTTAGGTTGGACGCCCAACCGACTGAGCCACCCAGGCGCCCCTGGATCATACTTTTTGTCAAGTCAGACCTAAAACTCTTGGCCAGCCTTAGGTCCTGAAGATTTTCTTTTTTTTTCTTTTTCCCTAAAATTTTAAAGTTTTACATATTATATTGAAATCTGTGGTCCGTTTTTAGTTGATTTTTATATGTGAGATTCAAGTCAAGATTCTCTTTTTTGCCTGTAGATGCCCGTTTGTTCCCATACAATTTATTGAAAAGGCTATCCTTCCTTTCCTGAAGAACTGTTTTTTCATCTTTGTCAAAAATCAGTTTGTAATGTTTGTCTGAATCCTGAATTCTATATTCTCCCTTGATCTGTGTGCCTATTCAATTCCTCTGTCAATACTACACTGTCTATTAGTATAGGTAAATAGTAAGTATTAACATCAGATAGAGTGCTTACTCCAATTTTAAGTGAAAGATTTCTTGCCTTTTCCATATGTTAGCTACTCTGCTTTTCCCTATAAATTTTATATTCACTTTGTGCCTACAAAAAAACCTTGATGAGATTTTGATAGGAGTTAACACTGAGATCACATTGGGGAGAAATGACATTTTTACTGTGTTGACTCTTCAGCTATAGTATAGCTCCCCATTTATTTTTTATTCCTTTCATCAGTATTCTGTAATTTTCAACATACACATTTTATACATGTTTTGTTTGATTTATCCTAAATGTGCAATTTCCTTTGTAGTGATTGTAAATGGTGTTTTTATTTTTTTTAATGGTATTGTATTTTTAATTTTTGTTTCCGTATGTTGGTAGTATAGTCAGATGTAATTGATTTTTTACATGTTGGTCATATATCTTTTGATCTTGCTGAACTCACTTATTTTAGAAGGGTTTTTTTTTTTTTTTTTATTGAGATCACTTGGGGCCTTCTGTGTAGATAGTCGTGTCATCTGTAAATAGGGATAGTTTGTGCTGCTTCTTTTTAAATGTTTATGCCTTTTATTCATTTTTCCTGCCTTATTATGCTGCCTAGAACTTTTAACACAATGCCAAATAGGAGTAATAAAAGTGATGAAAACCTTGCCTTGTTCTCAGATTTAGGAGAAAGCATTTATCTTTATTAAGCTTTATATTAGTGTAGTAAGTGCTCTACAAATTCAAGGAAGTTCCCCTCTGTACCTTGCTTGTTGAGTTTTATTATATATAGGCTTTTGGTTTTTGTCAGATGCTTTTTCTGTTGGTTGATATAATAACTTTTCTTTATCCTCTATTTGATATGGCACATTACATTAATGGATTTTCCATTATTGAACCACCATTGTGTATCTGAGTCATTTCCATTTAGTTATTGTCAAATTGGACTTGCTAATTGTTTGGTGATTTTTGTGTTTAAGTTCATGAGAGATACTGGTCTGTAGTTTTGGTGTTTTATGTTGTCTTGGTCTGGTTTTAACACCAGGGTTAATTCTGGCCTCATGATTGAGTTGAAAAGTGTTCTGCTCTCTAGGAGAGGATTGTGTTCAAGTGGTACTAATTATTTCTTAAATGTTTGGTAGAATTCTCCAATGAAACCATCTTGGCCTAGAAATACCCTTTTTGGGGAGTGTTTTAATTTCAAATTCAGTTTGTTTAATGTTTGTAGAACTGTTAAAGTTTTCTTTCATATTGGGTGGGTTGTGATAGTTTGT